AGACTCAGCTCCAAGGTGCCCAGAATATCAAGTGCTGACATGCAGCTCAGGACCTAACTTCTTTACCCTCCCTCCCACCATCAGGGAAAAGGCTACTTTGAGACCTTTGGCAGCAGTGTGCTCTTGTACAAAGGGCACGAAGCCCAAGAAGCAGGCCAAACAGTCATACAGGCCACAGAGTCAGGTGGGCATCAACTGTACATCTTGCTGGATTTAAAGCTACACCTACCTGGGTGGCTTCCCTGGAGCCTGCTAGCCTTGGTCTTCAGTGTCCAGCTGTTTAGCAAAATTATCTACTCCATGCCTGCTCAAATTCTTGATCTTCTAGCCATCCAATTGGCATCTGCCTATCCTGGCCAGCCTTAGGTCCATTAACCTCACTCACTCCTAATGTTTCTTCCCAGTAAGCTTCTGTCCACTGACCTGCACCATGTTCCTTGCCCATAAATTCCCACAAGCAAGCTTTATTCAGAGGTGAGCTCGGTTCCATACTGAGGCCCTTTTTGCTACTGCAATAGTTTCTGAGTACAATTACCTTAGCCACTATTCAGCTCTGATTTTCTCTGACACACTTCGGCTAAGTTACATGCTCTCTGGGCATCTGAAGCCTCATTGGCAGAATGGGAATAAAATCCATGGGTTACATAATACATGCAGAGCATCAGTTCGGTGTGTGAATCATACGCAGGCACTCAAAGAGTTATTTCTACTTTCTTTGTATTATTAGTGTATTATTAGACACTAAGGACATCCCAAATCAGGCCAAGGGCTGTGTTTAGACATGAAGCCTACAGACATCAAGTCATCCCAGGCTCTCTGCCATATTCCAAGTTCTAGGAAACACATTTACGAAACAGCCCCATGAGATACAGGCAGTGCCTTTACATGGAGTCGGGATAGGGACGGTGAAAACCCGCAGCAAAGAAATGACTCTTTTTCAGCCAGCCAATAATCTATACTTTAACATATTGTATCAGCCAGCCAGTGCCTGATTTAGTTACCCTATTTACTCATAAAACCTGTCACACAAACGCAGGAAAGCCAGGCATGGTGGCACACACCTTTAATCTCAGCACCGTGGAAGTGAAAACAGAACGATCTCAAAGTTCAAGGCTAGCCTGGATGACCTAGCAACGTGAGGAGTCCCAAGCTAAGCCAAAGCTACATAGGGAGACCCCGTCAAAAAAGAAACAAAACCGACCCCACAGGCATCTATTACTGACAATATGAAGATGGCATCCCAATAACAGAGGGTAAGGACACAGACTATACAGAGAAGGCACAAACTACCACTCTGGACTATGATGAGCAGTTATCTAAACTATCCAAAAAGGAAACCCCGTCTGTGTGGAACAGAGCCATGTCAACTCATTATTCTAGAGTTTCTCTGAAGACACTTCCGGCCTGCTTTCAAAGCATGCACAGTTGCAGTTTTCAACCACGGTACTGTTAAGCATTACCAGAGACTGGAACTGCGGTGCACAGCTCTGGCGTCAGACTGTGAAGGTGCAGATTCCCTCTCCATCCCTTCTACCTGACCTCGAGCAGTTGCTTAACCTCTACCATGGGTCTCCTCCGCAAACAGTGACTAAGAACAGCACTGCCCCCTAGGGTGGTTATAGGTACTAAGTTAATATATGTAAATGGCAAATACAGCGGGAGATCAAAAAAAACAGCTACCTGTGGCTAGAAAGAGAGAGAGATTGCTCAATCTTAAGACATGAGCTGCTCTTCCAGAGGATCCAGGTTCTACTCCCAGCACCCACATGGTAACTCATAGTCACTGTAAACTCCAGTTCCAGAGGTTCTGACACCAAGCACACATGTGGTACACATACACGCATGTAGGCAAAGCACCCACACACATAACAAAAACGTTAGTGGGCTATGACATTTTATTTCTTAGTCACTCCCTAGAACTACACTCGCGTATAATCAATCTCTATTGTTTATTCCTTCTTCAGTGAAACTGATCCAAGAAGATTCTTAAGATGGGTTAAGAAACAGCAGTATTGTGGAGAATGTGGGTAATGAGGAGGGAGCAGGGAGACAAACTGGTTAACCCGCCAGACAGTCCAGAGCTGGTGCTGAATCACAGTGCATCAGAAAGCACTGGAGACCTCGCCTAAGACCAAACAAATGCACATCCATACCCAGCTGTTCTCCTCGGCAATAACCAGCAGACGGTCCAGTAAGGCAGGTGCTGAAATCCACACCAGCACACTGTTCACAACAAAAACTGGAACACAGCCCTAATGCCCTCCACAGTGTTGCGCTAAGTCGCACAGGAGAATATCACATACAGAGAATGAACGGTCTACCACAATGACTCCTGTTTTTACGCAGCTCAGGGCACCTCTGAAGGATCTCCCAGAACCTCCAGAGCACACGGGTTCCACACTGGTTCCACGGGTTCCAGTTCAGACACTGCCTCCGTCATTTACTAACGTGTGGTTCTGAGCAAGCTATGCAACCTTTCCACGCGGTTAATCTCCTGAACCCTTGCTCTCTGCCTGCTATCCAGTGCATTGCATGCAACCTTCAACTCGAGGGAGCTGGACCCTCTCTGAAAGTGAGGGCAGTGCCTACTGTGCTAAGGACAGGGTGGCTCAGCAGGAACAGGGACAAGAGCTTCTGGATGCTTGGTGGATAGTGACGTTTATTTCAGAAAATTTAGCTTAAATGAGCACCTAGAAAACGTGTGGGTTTTTTCCCCTCATGTATAGTTAGTTCAATATGAAGTTAAAATAAGACAAATTAGAAAAGGTACAGAATATAACATAAAATACTTAATCCTACCTGTACATCTTTTTTCTTTTTCTTTTTCTTTTTTTTTTTTCTTTTTTGGCTTTTCAAGACAATGTTTCTCTCTGTAGCAATAGCTGCCTAGAACTCACTTTGTAGAAGATACTGACCTTGAACTCATAGAGATCTGCCTGCCTCTGCCTCCCAAGAGTGCTGGGACTAAAGGCATGCACCACCACCATCTGGTAACCTGTACATCCTTCAAACAAGCCCTCGGGTGCACATAAACTCGGTTCAAAGCTGGTGCCAAACTGGTGAGGGCTCCGGCCGTGGCCCTGAGTACACTCTTGCATCATTATTATGTCCACTAGACTTGCTCGTGTGGGGAGTGAGAGGCCAGGGCAGGTCCTGGCAGAGCCGGCTCAGGACAGACCATTGCAAAGGCCATCTCCGCACCCAAGAGCGCCAGAAGCAAGAAAGCTGCCCTTTCCTCCTCCTTCCTCAAAAAGAGCTATAAGTCCAGCTGACCTTCGCTAAAGTTGGCCATAAGGAAAGAAATGCTTCGTTAACAGAGGGCGACAGCGAAGAACATAAACATCAGGCTTTTCTAAGTCCCCAGGTTTATCACTGGCCAACTGCATTTCTTCCTTTCAGCCTGCTGCTTTGTTTTTCTGCTTTTCTTGCATAAGGAGGTAACAGAGGATTCAACCCCATAAACCAAGCTTCAATAAAGATTCTTAGGCTCCCATCCCAAACAGTCACGAGCCTCGGATTATCTTTTTAGATGTTTGAAGGAATTTATGTCACATTGCTTAGATCTTTTTAAAAATGGGTCTGCCTCTCAGATAAATCTAAGTGAGTTCATCTCCCTCTACAGAAGGGATGAAACGGAGCTGTAATAACGTGCATTCCGTTTTTATCTTGAAAACACAAAAAGCTGGCTGGGAATTTCCCACCCACCACTTCTGAGGTCATTAACTCATTGGGCAAATATGTTTTGAAAGCCTACTCTACTCTACCTTGAAACTAAAACCTAATTTTCATCTTCTTTACATATGGATATAAAAGGATCTCAAACATTCTGTTTGACCACAGGCAGAATTCCAAAATCCTGCCTTCATATGAGGAAGCAAATTTTACTTCCTGACTCATTCATGCTCCAGATGAAAACTGTCTTCTGGGAGCTGGAGAGAAGCTCGAAGTTAAGATCTAAAACTGTTCTTCCAGAAGTCTTAGCGACCTAAGTTCAGTTTCCAGCACCTGGGCTGGGTGGCTCATTACTACCTGTAATTCCAGCTCCAGGGGTGAGGTCCAACGGCCATGGCCTCTTCTACAGAAACCTGTATTCATGGATATACACACAGCCTCGCATGGACCACAGAGACATGGTTAAAAATAAAATACATCTTTTTAAAAAAAAAAAAAAAACTAATGTCTTGCTAGATACATTCAGATGGACATATGCACATGAATGTCTTTGAGACCAGGGACAAAACAATTATTTGATTCTGCAAAGTTATCCATCCTAAAGGCACATGTGCTGGAAGTGTCCTATCTAGTTTGGAACTACTGGGAGGTGGTGAGACCTTTAAGAGACAGGACTAAAGGAAAGTCATAGGGGTCCTGTCCTTGAGGAAATAGTGGGACCCTGGCCCCTCCTTCTCTCTTTCCCTGTCAGGCCACAATACAAACACTCTTCTGCCCATCATTCCCACCACCAGGTTCTATTTTACCACAGGCCCAGGAGCAACAAGACCAAACAGTTACACACTGAAGCACTCGGAATAAACGTTTTCTGTTTGTGAGTCGATTACTTCAGGTATCTATGAAAACAGCTGGCTGATACCCTAAAGTCCCTTTAGCTCTTGAAAAATTTAGAAAAAGCAAAAACCACGCTACATCAGTCCTCTGTCCTGGGACTCCGTAAAAAGAACAGTATCAGTGCTCTTACAACTGTCTGGACCTTAGCTGGTACAAAACAGCTTTGTGCTGCTACATCATTCTATCTGTGTCTTCCTCATAGCTTTGATCAAGAACCACAAAAGGAGCCAAAGAAACCTCTCCCAATTTTCCTAACAATAGGATGCCCACAGGGTTCGGAACGAGGGGACATTCCAACAGCAGGAGAGTACTCAGCAGTGCTGGATGTTTAGAACGAACCTAGCCATCAGGGACAGGTCAGTAGGTCAGTTGATGATGCTACAGTGTTCACAGTGTGGCTTTAGCACTGCACTGATATGCTGAAAGCAACCTACCTCGGTTGGCCCAGCATACATCATAGGAGATGGAAAGATGGCCACCACTGTCGTCTCAGGATTCAAAATACCCTCCTCCAGCACTGCGGCATGCTGCTTCATACGCCACATCAGAGGAACATCATCATCCTTTGTCCAGCCACCAAGAGGATGGAGGAGGAGGACAGGGCGCCGGTACCCCCTCTCCAGAAGCTGCTTGTGAGTGTCCTGCATTAACAGAGCATGTCCATTGTGCACTGGGTTACGCAACTGAAATGCAAAGACAGCATCTGAAAAGAGAATTTCCAGAGTTAGCACTTTCCGGCACTGCCTTACATGAGACAAGCCACTCTTTCCAGAATGATGCTTACAGGTAACAGATATGCAAGCTCAGAATCAGCAATGGGCAAAGTCATGGACTGCTGGCTGCTTATTCCAAGACAGCCAAAATTTGCGGCTGCTATTCAGTATTAACAGCCTTTGCTCACCTAAGGTCATGTTATACAGGAGCCTTAGACTCAGGCCAGTTACTCCTTTCCACAGGGGAAATGACAGCAACTGCCAGACTTTCTTTCAGTCCTAATATTCAACTGCTTACAACAAATACAAATTCATGGCCTCTGTGTTAATGATGCATCCAATCCTTCAAAGGCCCTAAGTCCCGAGTTAGTAATCAAACTCAGGTTATTTTCAAGGGCTTTATAAAAGAAGAAAGAATATGAAGATAGTATGGTTTCACTTTTACTTGCTACCCAAATTCATACAGATTGCTCCGATTGAGAACAAAGCCACTGCGTTGTCATCTGACATCTGGACTCAGGATTGCAATGTAGCAGCAACAATATCTCTTGATAATAATGAGGACCATTGTCATTATTCAAACGGTGAAAGCTACAAGAGTAATTGAATTGATTAGCCATTGTCTGCTTACAATCCTGGTTTCATTCCTCTATGCTTGCTACCAGAGGACCTCCATCAGAAGCCATGGTTCTTTGGAATATACAATGATGTTACAGAACAGAAAAACAATCCTGGCATAGGAGCTCTGTGCTTCCTGGTCTCTGAACACATGACACATCACCCCACCATCACGACTGGACTCAGACTCTCCAAATTTTCTTACTCTTATTTATTTTTACTCTGCCCCTTGCGCATAACCAGCTCTGAAGTACAGTGATGTGTGCCTTTAGACTGGTATGAGTTTCTACACTGGGAGCCTGCCATGAGGCTTCAGTATTTAAAGGCACACAAACTAGCTGATATTTAGAGCCAGCAGGGCTATGGCTGGGAAGGCAGAGTGTTTGGCTAGACAACTTCACATAAAAGAACACTGTGGTGATTTGAATAGGTATGGCCCCCACAGACTCAAGCATTTGAATGATTGGCTCTCTTGAGAAGAGGCACTATTAGGGGGTGTGGCTTTGCTGGAGTGGGTGTGGCCTTATTGGAGGACATGTGTCATGGTAGGTGCAGGCTTTGAGGTCCCCTAAGCTCAACCCCAGTATAGAACACTGTCACCTTCTGCTGTGATCGGATCAAGATGTAGAACTCTCTGCTTCTCCAGCACCATGTCTGCCTTCATGCTGCTGTGCTTCCCACCATGAATATAATGGAGTAAACCTCTGAAACTAAGCCAGCCCCAAATAAATGTTTTTCTTCATAAGAATTGCCTTGGTCATGGTGTTTCTTCACAGCAATGAAACCTAAGACATAAACTGGTCCCAGGGCCTGGGTTATTGCTGTCATAAGCCTGGCCATGGTTTTGTTTGGAGGAATGTAGATTTTGGGACGTTGGATTAGGAAAGCAATGGAATGCTTTAGGCTCTGCTTAATGGACCATCCTAGCAGGAACATGGAAGACATTGGAGCTGAAGTTAATCTGAAATGTGGGGGCCTGGCTCAAGAGGTTTCAGAGGGAGAAGAATTTGAGTATGTTGCTTAGGGATTGTTCTTGTGATAGCTGGTCAAGAATATGGCTGCTCTTTGCCCTTATCTGAAGAGTCTGTCTGAGGCTAAGGTGAAGAGATTTAGATTAATTGCATTGGCAAACGAAATCTCAAAACGGTCTAGTATAGACTCTGTCCAGCGGTTCACTCTTATGAGGAAACTTCTGAGAAAATATGGCAAGCTTAGAAAGGAAAAACACAAAATGTATAGTTCAAGGATTAAAAAGGCACCAAAAACATGAATGGAACCAATTTCTGTATTCAAGGAGATAAACAGATTAAAGATAGAATGAAATTAAGGGAGTGGTGACCTCAGGGCAATATTATCACCCAGCTAAGCCTTCATCTTGTGATAAGGAATTAAAGAAAAGCTTAGGTCCAGATGAGGTGATACACTCCATTAATCCAAGTACTTGGGAGACAGAGGCATGTAGAGGCAGGTGGATCTCTGAGCTTAAGGCCAGCCTGGTCTACAGAGGAAGTTCTGGGACAGTCAAGTTTAGACAGTGGAAAAAAACAAAACAAAACATGGAAAACAGAAAACTGGTGAAAATGGAATTGAAGGGAGGGTGCTCATATTTTCAGCGCCAGCAAGTAGCAGAACTTGGTAGATTTGGCCATGTGGTTCTGGCTTTAGACTCAAGGATAAAAGAAAGGGTTTATGAAATCACCCTCCACAACTAAGGAAAGCTGCTGAAGTCAGGAGTGTGGCAGGGGGGTCCTTGCATGGGGGCTCAGAGAGGCCATTGTGTGAAGCTGTGAAGGTGAAGCCTGGATTGCGCTGGAGACCCCAAGAGGTTAGAGATGCCAAAGGCCTGGGATACTTCCTGGGGAGAGCTGCTAACAGGGTGTAACCAGCCCAAGAGAAAGAAATATGTCACAGCCAACAAAACTGAAAGGAGTTGGAATATTTTGGCATCAGACATAGAGATGTGGAGTTTGGAGTTTGCCCAGCTGGTTTTCAGTCTTGATTTGATACAGCATTTCCTCGCTGTGCTCCCGTCCCTCTGTCTTGGAATGGTAATTTATATCCTATCCATGATATATTGGAAGTATGTGATCTGCTTTTTGATTTTTATTTTATAGGGGATTACAGTTAGAGAATGCATGAATCTCAGAAGAGACTTTGAACTTGGGACTTTTAAAGACTGTTGGGACTGTGATAGAATACAGGGTATTTTTGAAGTTGGAATAAATGCATTTTGCATTATGCTATGGCTATGGCTACAAGCCTAAGGGGGCCAGGGGGTGGAGTCTGGTGGTTTGGATAGGTATGGCCCCCATTTGTGAATGCTTGGCCCATAAAGAGTGGCACTCTTAGCAGTTATGGCCTTGTTGGCGTAGGTGTGGCCTTGAGCAAGTGTGTCACTGTAGGAGCAGGTTTTAAGGGCTCCTAGGCTCCAGCTTTGCCCAGTGTGATATAAAGTACCCTTCTACTGCCTTTGGATCAAGATATAGAACTGTGTCTGCCTGCATGCTACCATACTTCCCACCATGATGATAATGGGCTAAACCTCTGAAACTGTAAGCCAGCCCCAATTAAAGAGGGTTGCCATGGTCCATGGTGTCTGTCCCTAGCAATGAAACCCTGACAGACACCATACAAATAAGCTACCAAACTGGAAAATGGAAAAGGGTTTTCACCATAGAATCAGGACCTAAGTACAGAATAGATAAAATAAGCTCAATGGATTATACGATGTGGACTAGAATTAAAAGTGTCAGTGTATCTTTATGCTTTCCAGCTATAGCAACACAGATACAGGAATACATATATAAGAGTGTATGAATGAAAGAGAGAAAGAAAGAAGGAAAGAAAGAAAGAAGCCCTCATATTTGTAGGTAGCACATGCACATGCTTCCATATTCTTTACAGTGTCTTCAGGTCACTCCCAATGGTTAGCAAAATGTCAGTTCTATTGGCATACTATATGCTATACAGTTAGGGAACAGTGATAGCAGAGCCGGCAAGTTCTCAGTAAAGACACAATTTTACTCCTGAATATTTTTGATCCAGAGCGAGCTGGATCTGCAGAGGGGGGACCGGAGAATCAAGAATCAGAGCGCCGGCATTTGGCAGTATTTGAGGCAGGCTAGAACTAGCAGGGAGGTGGGTGTTGTTTAGCAGTGCAGTGCTTGCCTGGCATAGCAAGGCCTTGGTCACGACTGCCAGCACAAAAAGAACTTTAAAGGGAAGGCCGATTTAAAAGGCAGGAGTAGCTACAGATCTGAACGCCTCTACTCCACATACTTGTGAGGCAATAGTACGAAATAATTTAAGCTCACGTTAGAAAAGTGAGAAAGACTAATATTTTTAGTAAGTTAATGTCACTTATAATAGGTTTAGGTCAAAACTGTAGGCCACTTGTTAACAGTGCAAACAATACAGCTTGATTGTTTGCAGTGTTCTTGACAGAAGTGTGTGACGTGAAGGCAGTCATGAAGAAATGGATAATGAAGCTCACTGAGGAAGAACTGAAACGATGTGGCGTGCACTCGACTGACATTTCCAGGCTGAGAAAGGCAGGCTGAACACTAACTGTTCAAAACTGAAGAAAACTAAGACACCTACCCTGGATTCTGGACCAGAAGAGACAGGAAGCCAGACAACAAACTGGTGACATCACGGCTGTAATAAAGGAGGCTGGTGGGGGTAGAAGGAGACTGGAGAGACGGATGTGTGGCTAACAGCACTGGCTGGTCTGTCAGAGAATCAGGCTTCAATTCCCAGCACCCACAGGGCGTTCAAAAATCATCCTTGACTACAGTTCCGGGGGATTCAGGCCTTCTCCTGGACTCTACAGCTACCAGGCACACACATGGCACTCTTATACATGCAATGAAACACTCATCCAGAGAAAATCAAACAAGCTATCTTTTAAGGACCCCACTGAGAAGGACAATTGCAGGATTTGGGTGGGAATCGGACCCAAGGCAGGGAGGCAAAAGACCGCCCTTGCTTGTAGGAACTATGAGTCTCAAAGCCACTCTCAAAGACAAAGACCATGGAAGAGCAGCAACTGGAGGATGTAAGTAAGTACGGAATCTTTGTTAAAATGTACAGGAATTTTGGCCTTGGAATATTTCTGTAACATTTTAATCATTTTAAGATTTACAAAAAGCAAAGCAGAAAACTAAGACAGGAAAGACATCAGCTAATCACAATTTTCAGCTTATTACAATTCAAATGAACTAAATAGAGATTCACTTTTTTTTTCTCTTTTTTAAAATGAAAATACTGGAAACTTGGGCAATTAAACATTTGAGAGTTTTAGAGCTAACTGAGGACGAGGCAAAGGTGCGATGCTTATGCTCTGGAAGGCCTCTGTTGAGAGGATACATAC